TTATGGGAACATCATAGAGTGTACTTAAACAAACCTAGATGGTAGAGCCTACTCCACACCTAGGCTGTATGGTACAGCCTGTTACTCCTAGGCTACAAACCTGTACAGCATGGTACTCTACTGAATACTGTAGGCAGTTGGAACACATGGTATTTGTGTATCTAAACATAGACAAGGTACAGTAAAAATACGGCATAAAAGATTAAAAAGATGGGGCCAGGCACGGTGGCTCATGCTTGTAATCCTAACACTTCGGGAGGCTGAAGTGGGAGGATTGCTTGAGCCCGGGAGTCAGAGACCAGCCTGGGCAACATAGGGAGACCATGTTTCTACAAAAACACACAAAGTTAGCCAAGTGTGGTGGCACATGACTGTAGTCCCAGCTACTCAGGAGGCTGAGGTGGGAGGATTGCTTGAGCTGGAGAGGTGGGGGCTACAGTGAGCCGTGATGATGTCACTGCACTCCAGCCTGGGCGACAGAGCAAGACCTGTCTAAAAAAAGAAAAAAAAGAAGAAAAATAATACACCTTCATAGAACACTTACCATGAATGGAGCTTGCAGGACTGGAAGTTGCTCTGAGTGAGTGAGTGAGTGGTCAGTGAACGTGAAGGCCTGGGATATGACTCTGCACTACGGTAGGCTTTATAAAGACATATCCTTAGGCTGCACTGAATTTATTGTAAAAATGCTCTCTCTTCAAAATAAATTAACCTTAGCTTACAGTAGCGTTACTTCATAAACTTGTACATTTTTAAAACTTTTTGACTATTTTGTAATAACACTTAGCTTAAAACACAAACACACTGTACAACTCTACAAAAAAATTCCTGTCTATAAGCTCTTTCCTATTTTTAAACATTTTTACTTTTTTAAAAACCTTTCTAAACGTTTTTGTTAAAAAGTAAGACACAAACACCCATATTATCCTAGGCCTACATGGAGTCAGGATCATCAGTATCACTGTCTTTTAAATCTGGTCCCACTGGAAAGTCTTCAGGGACAGTAACACGCAGGAGCTGTCATCTCCTGTGATAAGTACGCCTCTTTCTGGAATACCCCCTGAAGGGCCTGCCTGAGGCTGTTTTACAGTTAACTTTTTTTTTTTTTTAATATAAATAGAAGGTATATGCTCTAAAATAATAAGTGGCTGGGCACGGTGGCTCATGCCTGTAATCCCAGCATTTTGGGAGGCTGAGGCAGGTGGATCACCTGAGATCAGGAGTTTGAGACCAGCCTGGCCAACATGTTGAAACCCCATCTCTACTAAAAATACAAAAATTACCTGGGCATGGGGGTGGGCGCCTGTAATCCCAGCTACTCGGGAGGCTGAGGCAGGAGAATCGCTTGAACCTGGGAGGTGGAGGTTGCAGTGAGCCAAGACTGTGCCATTGCACTCCAGCCTGGGCAACAAGAGTGAATCTCTGTCTCAAAAATAATAATAAATAAGTAAAATAATAAGAAGTATGGCATAGTAAACATATAAACCAGTAACATTGTTTATTATTGTCCGGTGTTGTGCTAGGCTTTTATATGACTGGCAATGCAGTAGGTTGGTTTACGCCAGCATTACCACAAATGTGAGTAATGCTTTGTACTATTACTTTAAGATAGCCACAGGGTCACTAGGTCATAGGAATTTTTCAGCTCTCTTGTAGTCTTATGGGACCACTATTGTATATGTGGTCTGCCATTGACCAAAATGTCCTTAGGTGGCAATGCCTGTATTAAAGTCAAGACAGCAACCATGTTGGGCGAGGTGGCTCATGCCTGTAATCCCAGCATTTTGGGAGGCCGAGGCAAGCGGATCACTTGAGGCCAGGAGTTCAAGGCCAGCCTGGCCAACATGGCGAAACCCTGGCTCTACTAAAAAAATAAAAAATAGCCGGGTGTGGTGGCGCATGCCTGTAATCCCAGCTACTGGGGAGGCTGAGGCACAAGAATCACTTGAACCTGGGAGGCGGAGTTTGCAGTGGGCCGATATCACACCACTGCACTCCAGCCTGGGCAAAAAAAAAAAAAAAAAAAAAAGCAGCATAGACCACTGGAACGGGACCTTCTTCTCAGCATTGCGCTGATGACCTGTCCACGAATCCAGCCCTCTTGTGGGTCATTTCTCTGGGATCCTTTCTGTTTCCCTGGAGAAGGTGTCTCCATCCTCCTAGCTGTGGTGTCCTGGGAGCTGGACACAGACGGGCTCCTTTAGAGACTCAGCACTCAGACCCTTGCCTGGTCCCCCTGTGCCTGTGACCATGTCTGGGCTGTTCTGATTCAGCTTCGCTGGAGAATAAACCTCCATTACCTGGGCAGGGACTTTGGGCCTCCCTGCTCCGTGCGCTGGGACATTTTCAGACTCTCTCCCTGCTCTCTGGCCATGCTGCCTGCACCTTCGCGGTGTCTGGAGCTCTAGTTGGGCTGAGCCCACTCACTCCCGCTGAGCATGTGGGGTGCACCTCCACCCTCTGCAACATTGCCAACCTCTCGTCTCTTCATCAGCTTACCACCTTTCAAAGATGTGTGACATCTTCTGCCTGCTGTATGTCCCCTTCCTCCCTGAGGGGGTTTTCAGCTGGTTTATTCCTTTGCTGTTCTTTTCTCGAGGATTTTGGAAGAAAAGGAGATGAAACTGTGCCTTGGCATCACTGTGCCTTGCCAGAAGTCAACTTAAGTCTAGATATACTTCTGTTTTAGAAGACAGTATTCCTCCATTAAGCACGTATTGAGCACCTACCGTGTTCCAGGCCCTGTGGGGTTGGAATGTGCTAGGAGACAGTGCTGAAAAGCCAGTTCCTACCTCTGAGTGGCCTTACTGTGAATCCAGAGGGGAGAGGATGCAGAAGGTTATGACTGGGGTGGAGGGTGTGGGGTGTCAGGAGTCTGTGTACAGAGCCTGGGGTCACACCAGGGGCAGAGCCCAGACTTGACGGTGCACTTCAGGAAGCTGCTTACTGAGCAAAGAGGGGAGGGTTGGCCTTTTATCTTTTTTTTTTCTTTTTTTAAATATATATATATATAACCTCTTAGCTGTTAGGCGCTCACTTAACCTTTGTGCTAGCAGTGATTCCACTTTTTGATTTTTCTCTCGTCAGTCCCCTCTGTTCCCCAATTATTATTTTTTAAACATCGACTGCTTCTAATCTGCCTGGGTCTGGAATAGCAGACAATCAAGTGTGTTGGAAATGTGTCTAAAATAAGAGTTAATTAGGCTGTGAAGTAAGGTTTGAGGGACTCAGCTGTGAGAAAAATGCATAAACTTTAATGTATCAATTTTATAACTTCTATTTTTACTACCCAGTAGCCTTCTTAACTTCTGCAGCTTAATTTATGTTCCAGATGACCAACATTGCCATATACATGAGGCATAACAACCATTCTATTATAAAACTTTAACATCAGCTGCTGGCTGTATCTTCCTTCTAGCCCCATAGCCGCCTTTCTCTATTAAAAAAATATACTGGCCTTTGGTTTTTTTCTTTTTTCTTTTTTTGGAGACAGGTTCTCACGCTGTCATCCAGGCTGGAGTGCTATGGCATAATCATGGTTCACTGCAGCCTCTACCTCCTGGGCATAAGTGTTTCTCCCACCTCAGCCTCCTGAATAGCTGGGTCTGCAGGCACATGCCACCACGCCCTGCTAATTTTTAAGAGTTTTTGTAGAGATGGGGTCTCCCTTTGTTGCCCAGGGTGGACTGATTCTGGGCTCAGCGATCTTCCTGCTTTGACGTCCTAAACTGTTGGGGCTACAGGCGTGAGCTACTGTGCCTGGCCCCTGGACAGTGTAAATGTTTACTTACCATGTTTCCTTGATTTGAAAAGGCCTGGGCCGGGCGTGGTGGCTCACACCTGTAATCTCAGCACCTTGGGAGGCTGAGGCAGGCAGATTACGAGGTCAGGAATTTGAGACCTGCCTGACCAACATGGTGAAATCCCGTCTCTACTAAAAATGCAAAAATTAGCTGGGCGTGGTGGTGAGCACCTGTAATCCCAGCTACTCAGGAGGCTGAGGCAGGAGAATCGCTTGAACCTGGGAGGCGGAGGTTGCAGTGAGCTGAGATCACACCACTGCACTCCAGCCTGGGCAACAGAGCGAGACTCCATCCATCCCCCCCCCCAAAAAAAGGCCTACTTTATCACATTATAACATCTGTAAATGAAATGAGTCTTTTAATTGATGGGGGTCTTGGTATTATGGTTACAGTTTTCTTTCGTATGTGGCACATAATAGTATATCTTAGGATCAGTGGTGTCTTAGATTCGATGCAATACAGTATTTAGGTCATTTGAGGGGATTGACAAATTATTCTGTTTCTCCAACCTGTCTCTTTGCTGGAAAGAGACAGCCTCATCAGCATTTGAAAGGAACTTTTTTCTTCCTACAGCCTTCTTATAATAACAACAGGCATAATAATGTCAGCAACAGTAAGCACTTATAAGCACATGCTATTGTGCTGACACTGCTCCAAGAGCTTCCCATTCACCTCTTAAATGACGCTGTGTTAGAAGCATGGCTATTAGGCCCATTCCACAGATGAGGAAACTGAGGCTCAAAGGTAGAAGTGGCACAGCAGGGAATCTAGGCTATCTCTGAAAAAATTATATTATGCTGCCACTAGTGATTCTGGGAGACAGTTGAAGTATCTTCATTTAAATCAGAGGTTTCTACCTGCTTATGACTTAGAGTCAACTAGGGAGCTTTAGGAAAATGCTGAAAAAATTATTCAAGGAATTCTAAAGTGCAGACAGAGTCGAGAACCCCTGGCTTCATTGATCCGTGTTAGGTCCCCTAGCTCTGCCATTCTGGGACCTCTCTGGCCCTTACTCTCTGATGCCACACCCCCAGGATAGGACGACTGCCCAGCCTGGGCTGGCAAGGACAGCCCGAGCTTCTTATGCTTTCAGAGCTGGATCCCTGGGTTAGAAAACATGGGTTGGAAACCTTAAACCAATATATGCTTTTGATTTTTGTTCTTTATTTTCTTTTCCTTTCTTTCTCTTTCCTCCAGCTCTGGAGTGCACAGAAAATCAAGCAGGTAATCCAGTTTTGGATTCTCTATTTCCTTCTCCGTGCTGTCCTGGACTCCACCCTGCCCTGTCCCAGGGATCTAGTGGAAGCTCCTCCTCCCATGGTTCTTCCGGGCTCTCACATTTGCCCTTGACTCCCTCACTCCTTCCTTCTGCCCTGGCACCCGAGGGCCAGAGTCTCTGAAGCCTGGAGCTCAGGCTAGGCTGGCCTTTGCCTGGGTTCTCTGAGCTCCTGCAAGAGACAGGGCTCTGTCCACAAAATCCTTATTATGTGCCTACCATGTGCCAGGCATGGGGGTAGAGGGCCTGCAAGGTAGACACTATCCCATTCCCCATGGACTTTTGCTGTCCACTGCATTCAGCTTTTAGGGTAAGTTAGGAGAAGGGGTGCTATCTGTTTATGGCCCATGGTTTGGTATTCTCTTGCCTCGAGTGGTGGAAAGGCCTAACTAGCCACAAGGCAACTTACAGCCACTGGTGTCTGAATCTTCCCAGAGAAGTTGTCCTCTTGCCTTCTTCCTCTCCTAATGCCTCTGCTTGTCTCCGTCCTCCCTTCCCCTTCCCTGTTCCCCCTCCCTGCACCCTTGTCCCCACCCCATTCTCTGTTCCTGCTTTTTCCAGGCTATTCTACACCCGGACACCAATGAAAAGATCTTCATGCCCTTTAGAATGTCAGGTAAGCTCCTGGGGCCCTTCTGGTTCTGGCCAGCCTGGGGTGCTTACTCCAGTCACAGCTCCAGGAGCGTCCAGATGTTTTGGCCTAAGGAGGGGACAGAGCCTGTCACAATCGTGGCCATATTTGCACCTATACGTTCACCTCAGCTCACCTGTACAAGACGGGGGCCAGGCCTCAGAATCCTCTATGGAGCTTGCCTGGCTTTTCTGCCTGAGCAGTTGGGGTGGAGCTGGGCCTTCCACAGGCAAATCTGGTAGCCCCCTGTACCGCCCACTCCACATCACTCAGTGCTCACTAGGACAGCCTCAGTGATGCCTCCTCTAAGCAAGCCCTGGCTTCTACAAGTCATTCCCCCTCTCTTACCAGTGTGTGGCCTGCTGTTTCCTTCCAAGTCCTGCTCCCTGCCCTGCCCCTTTTAGGCAGTCAGTCTCCAGCTTAATTCTCTATTCTCTGATCCTGCAATTAGCCCTCCTTTCAGAATGGATGCACTGTTACTGCACTGCTGTGCATGTACAGAAGGTGGGATTCCTGTTCTGTGGAGACCAGGGGGCAGAGGGGAATACAAGATCCCTGCCCCAGGAAGTCCCAGTGGTCACTGAAGGGGTAGCTGTGTCTATGTGGGCTTTAGGGCTTAGAAAGCACTAGCAGGTACACGAGCTAGGCTGACATGCTGATCCCCCCCAACAGTTCTGAGAGTCTCTGCAGAGTCACACTCACGGGTGTGCTGACGCCTCCTCGTTGCCATTTCTCAGTGCAATGGGGTGCACCCACCTTGAGTTATGAGGGTGGGATAGGAGGGCACTGCTGCTGTTGCCTTGGGAGGGCCTCAGAGGGCTGGAGAAAGGCAGTCTAAGTCAAATGGGTCAGTCAGGGTCCCCACCCCCAGAGAGCCTAACCTCATTGGGAGCAAGAAAATAAACAACCAGGGAGTAGGTGGACGTCTGATGTCATTGTGTAAACTGGGGCATTGAGTGCCCTGTGGCCCCCTTGCTTTGCCATGAAAAACTTCAAGGCTCTGAGCATTTTTTTTTTCTTTTTATTTGAGACAGAGTCTCACTCTGTTGCCCAAGCTGGAGTGCAGTGGCGTGATCTCTGTCATTGCAACCTCCACCTCCCAGATTTAAGCAATTCTCCTGCCTCAGCCTCCCAAGTAGCTGGGACTGCAGACAAACACTACCACGCCTGGCTAATTTTTGTATTTTTTCATAGAGATGGGCTTTCACCATGTTGGCCAGCGTGGTCTTGAACTCCTGACCTCAAGTGATGCACCTGCTTTGGCCTCCTAAAGTGCTGGGAAGGGCTCTGAGCGTCTTACAGTTGTGGTTGTAGATGCTCCCCAGTCCCTGCACCCGGCACAGCAGGCTCTCAGCCTGAGCCTCGCTTCTCTTGTAATTCTTGACCTTTTTGAGTCATGCATTCCTCTGAGGCCCCGATCAAACTTTGGTTATCTTCCCCAGAGAGAAGTGGGTAGGAGAGCCATGGCTCATGTGCGTGTGTGATTATGCGCACTCAGGAGCAAAGCTTCACTTTAGATGCAAGTCAATAAGCCCGATCCTGCTGTCCAGCCACTGCTCACCGGCTGCCATGGTTAGAGGTTGGGGACAAGAGGCTATCCACTGACAGCAGTTGGGGCTGTGGAGGGAGCCTCGCCCAAGGGCTGAGAGCAGCGAGGAGGCTGTACCCAGGGCCTGGCTGCGCTTCACCCCAGCTCCCTACTGCGCCACTGGGGATGCCACAGATTTAAGAAGCTCTGGCACTTAGAGGTGCATGGCTTAGGTGGGGAGGGAATTTTCTTTCCAGAAATGGTCATGATGCCGGCCGGGAAAATAAGGGCCTGTGTTAGAAAGACAAGCTGAGGGAAGAAGGAAGACATTCTGGGGTCCTTGGAGGATGTTCAGCCTCATGTAGTGAGCGTGGGCAGGGTGTGTCGTGCCTCGCAGGAAATCGTAGGAGGATCACCAAGTGTGAAGCAGTGATGCCCCAGGCCATGGGCAGCCCTGCCTGCAGGAACAGGCCTCTGGGTTCCAGGAGAGAGTGAAAGCTGCCTGGCCACAGGGGAGCAGAGAAGAGGAGACTGGGGACACAACCCCGGCAAGGGCTGAATGGGGAAAGGGTCTATGAGATTGGGGATGCCTCCCGCCTAACTGACCTGAACCCCTTCATTAGGGCCACTGATGGCCTAAGACCTAACCCGGAGGCTCCTGGGTATCTCAGGTGAGCTGTGGGTAGATTATAAGGCCTGCCTCTTTTCTTCTCATTCACAGGTTACATTCCTTTTGGGACGCCAATTGTAAGTGTTATCTTCAAAGGATTTCTTTTTCTAAAAAATAATTTTAAATGTCTAACTTTATGTTATTGCTCACAGATAATTGAGTTGTTGATTTAGGATAAATCAATTCCTGGAGAGAGATTACCAAATAAAATGATATGTATTTCTTACCGCATCTCTTGATGCCGATTGGCAAAGCTCTTTTCATAAAAAGCCTGATGACTTAAATCCAGCGTGGAGTCGAAAATTGCTTTCTTCCCGGCACGTTTTCTGTCCCCACTGTTGTCATTAGCACCTGCTAGTCATAGGGAAGTTTTCTCAAAGAACTTGGGAAGTAGGAATGGAAGCATGCCTTCTGAAAAATCAAAGTTTAAAATTAATTCAGAAAGAATTTTCAGCATTCTTTTTGCTCAGTTTTATAATCAGGATTATGTTTACTCTTTATTTTTATTGGAATAAAACATACAGAAAGGTTCATTCATCATAAATGTACAGCTTGGTAAATTTTCAGAAAGCAAGCATATCCAGGGCTGGGCGCAGTGGTTCACGCCTGTAATCCCAGCACTTTGGGAGGCCGAGGCAGGCGGATCACGAGGTCAGGAGATCAAGACCATCCTGGCTAACATGGTGAAACTCCGTCTCTACTAAAAATACAAAAAATTAGCTGGGCGTGGTGGTGGGTGCCTATAGTCCCAGCTACTCGGGAGGCTGAGGCAGGAGAATGGCGTGAACCTGGGAGGTGGAGTTTGCAGCGAGCTGAGATGGTGCCACTGCACTTCAGCCTGGGCAACAGAGCGAGACCCCATCTCAAAAAAAAAAAAAAAAAGCAGGCATATTCAGTAAATATCACTTAGGTAAGGAACAGTTTGACACCCTCCCAACTGAGCTACTTCGGCCAGCTCACTTAAAGATTCAGAGCATCATCAGCATCTCAGAAACCTCACATGTGTCTTTCCCAATCACCACCCCCACAGGAAATCACTTTTCTGACTTTTATATTTTAGTTTTGCTTGTTATTGAACTTTATATAAATGGAATCATCAACATGTGCTTTTTTGTGTGTGGCTTCTTTTACTCCACATTGTGAGATTTGCTCATATTGTCTGTAACATTCATTTGTTCTTTTCTCATTGCTGTATAATATTCCATTGTCATAAATTTTCAGAGTTTCTTTATTCATACTGTTGGTGAACATTTGGTTTTTTCTAGTTTTGGGTTTACAACAAATAGTGCTGTTTTGAACATGCTTGTACAAGTCTTTTAGTGGATATATGCCCTCATTCCTCTTGGATACAGACCTGGGAAGCTAAAAGCAGGTAACAACTATAATAAATGCAATGTGTGATCCGAGAATGGATCCTGGGTTGGAGCAGGTGGTGTGTAAACTGTATTGCAGTTTCTTATAAAGCTAAAGATGCACTTACAATATGACCAAATAACCCTACTTTTAGGTATTTATCCAAGATAAATGAATGTGTTTATTTACACAAAGATCTGTATGTGAATGTTTGTAGTAGCATTTTTCACATTAGTCTAAAACTGGAAGCAGACAAGAATGACCAACAGATGTTAAAACTATTGGGGAAAAACTAATTGAGAACAGAATATTTGCGTAGTCTCAAATTTTCCTATAGATATCATAGATATTATTCCTTCCGTGTTAATTAGTTGGCATCCTCTTGAGTTTCCCTTCTGCCTCTTCCTTTAATGTTTTCTTAAAACTATCAGTATTTAGATACTGTTAATACGGTCTTTGTGTTTTTTGTTTTTTTTTAATTCAGGGGTAAAAATTTACTCCTGTCATTATTTATTTTGATATGCAAATTGGGCCACTTTTGACCCAACCTTAAAGCAGTTTCTCTATTTGACATGCCCCCTCAGTCTTTGAGAGCTTCAGTACTCTCTGACACAACAGGATATTCTAGGTTCATCTTTTCTTTTCTCTTTCTCTTTTTCTTTTCTTTTCTCCTTTCCTCTTTCCTTTCCTTCATTTTCTGTCTTCATTGCTTCCTTTTTCTTTCTTTTTTCTTTTATTTTGTCTCACTCTGTCACCCAGGCTGGAGTGCAGTGGCAGGATCCTGGCTCACTGGAGTCTCAAACTCCTGGGTTCAAGTGATCCTCTTGCCTCAGCCTCCCAAGTACCTAGGACAACAGGCATGTGCCAGGATGCCCAGCTAACTTCTCAAACATTTTTTTGTAGAGATGGAGTCTCATCATGTTGCCCAGGCTTGTCTTGAACTCCTGACTGAAAGCAATCTTCCCACCTCACCCTCCTAAAGTGCTGAGATTACAGTAGATTTGTCTGTACAGTACTTTCTTCACCCCCATCCTAGAATAACTGATTTCTCTGAGGAGCCCTATTTCCTTTTAGAAGGAAATGATACTTAGAAACCAAGATCTTGATTTTGGGTGTACTCATTGTTACTGGAGTGTCATTGCTTCTCGGTATTCTTAGGGGACAGAGCTAGGAGATACAACTTTAAAAAATTCATGAGTTTATACTGATACCTGTAATTCCCATCAAACATCTCAGTGTTCATTTGTTCTCCCATTTCATATTTGAATCTCCCTTCTCCTAATGAGATTCCAACAGTATATTTACTCACTTGCAAAATCTTATACATACAAATAAGAGTTTTCAGAATTGCTACATCAATATCACTCTCAAAATACTACTAACTAAAGCCCAATATTTCTTTGAAGTTCTTTTTGTCTTAGAAAGTATCCTGTTGAGAGTACACAGAGTACCACGTTCAAAAGTTTCTTGAATTAATTTTTTTCATACGTGTTTATGTTATCTACTTGATGTACAGTTACAGGTTTAACTGATTTCTGTCGGCATTCCATTTTAGTTGTTTCTCCATTCTTACTAATTTATTTTTTGATATTTAGGAGATAGGAATAGTTTAAAAGTCCAAGCTATTTAAAAAGATGTACTCATAAAAGTTCCACTCCCCTTCCTATCTCTGCTACCTCCTCCTCACCTATCCTCTGTAGGTAAACAACTTCTCCTTCTTATTTTTTTTGTGTGAGAATAAACAGATACAAATATCTGCTTTCCCCCTTTTTTCTTATATAAAATGTAGTATACTATATACAGATGTGTCTAACTTACGATGGTTCAACTTACAATTATTTGACTTTATGATATGTGACAGCAGTATACATTCACTGAAAACAATACTTGCAATTTTGAATTTTGATCCTTTCCTAGGCTAGAGATATGTGATTGATACTTTAACCATGCTGGGCAGTGCAGTTCCCAGTCAGCCATGTGATGACAGGAGTAAACAACCCATACTACAATGTACTGTGTTGCCAGTGTTTTTTTGAATATTGCATTCTGTGTTCCACATCCCATCACGTCAACAAAATGCCCATTTTCAACTTATGATATGTTCAGTTTATGATGGGTTTATCAGGTGTAACCACATCATAAGTTGAGAAGTATCTGTACACCCTTTTGCACAATGGTTTTTTTCGCTCGATATATCTGTTTTTTGTGGGTTTGTTTGTTTGTTTGCTTGTTTGTTTTAGACAGAGTCTCACTCCGTCTGTCGCCCAGGCTGGAGCACAGTGGCATGATCTCTGCTCACTGCAGCCTCTGATGCCAGGTTGAAGCGATTCTCCTGCCTCAGCCTTCTGAATAGCTGGGATTACAGGTGTGTGCCTCGACGCCTGGCTAATTTTTGTATTTTTAGTAGAGATGGGGTTTCGCCATGTTGGCCAGGCTAGTCTTGAACTCCTGACCTCAAGTGATCCGCTCACCTCAGCCTCCCGAAGTGTTGGGATTACAGGCATGAGCCACTGCCCCAGCTCTTCCACTTGATATATCTTGAAAATCACTGTATATCGATTTATAGAGATCTTCCTCATTATTACGTTTTTACAGCTGTATAGTATTCTACTAAGTGGAAGTACCATGATTTATTTAGATAATTTCTTACATTAGATTATTTGTAATACTTTGCCATCATGAATAATGCCAAAATGATAATCTTATGATATTGTTGGAATATATCTTGAGGGTAAATTCCTAGGTTCTATGGAAGGACTAATTAAATAGACATTTCTAGAAAGATTGATCAAGACGAAAGAGAGAAGATACAAATAAACAGCATTAGCTATAAGAAGTACAATAATTATAGATGCAGTAGCAGAATGAAAGATCTGAATGCATTGAACAACTCAAGGCAATACATTTAAAGACTTAGAAGAAATGAATACATTTCTGGGAAAATACAGCTTACCAAAACTGCCTAGAAAGACGAAATATAGAGTCTTTTTCTTTTTTTTTCTTTTCCTTTTTTGGAGACAAGGTATCACTCCGCCTCCCCGGCTGGAGTGCAGTGATGCGATCATGGCCCACTGCAGCCTGAAATTCCTGGACTCAAGTGATCCCTCCTGCCTCAGCCTCCCAAAGCGTTGGGATTACAGGCATGAGCTGTCACACCTGGCCTTAAAATCTGAATATACCTATAAATAAAAGGAAATTTAATTTGCAGTTTAAAATATTTGTACCACAGAACAAACAAACCAAAAATTATCACTGGGCTCTGATCTTACAGGTGACTGTACCCAAAGGAATAGCTGACCTCAATTTTATAAAGCTTTCAAAAGAGAAAAAAGTGCCAGGCATAGTGGCTCACGCCTCTTATCCCAGCACTTTGAGAGGCCAAGGCAGGGGAATCACTTGAGGCCAGGAGTTTGAGACCAGCCTGGGCAACATAGCAAGACCTCGTCTCCATTGAAAAAAACAAAAAAGAGAGAGGAAAAAAAGGAAATCTTCCCAGTTTATTTAATGAGGCACTTTGAGACCAATACCGAAGTAAATATAAGACCGAAAAAGTATAAGCCAATATCACTTATGAAATTACATGTAAAGATTATGAAATAAAATAATAACAAACTGAATCCAGCAATGCATCAAAGTACAACATAACAAAATGCTTTTTACCAAATACAACATTAGAGAATATATTAATATTAGTTCATCACACTAAGAAACTGAAGAAGAAACA